GCAAAGAACCAAGTAGGAAATACAATTTTAATTTTGGACTAGGGGCGACCCTAGTCAAAATCAATTTTGTCATTTTTTTCTTCGAGGGTTTATACAAATGGATTGAAACTATGCATTAATATTTTAGTGCTTAAAACAAATATAAATAAAACATCTTATAATATTTTTGAGCAAAGAACCAAGTAGGAAATACATTTTCAATTTTGGACTAGGAGCGACCCTAGTCAAAATCAATTTTGTCACTTTTTTTTTTCGAGGGTTTATACAAATGGATTGAAACTTTGCATAAATATTCAAGTGCTTAAAGCAAATACAAATAAAATATCCTAAAATTTTTTTGAGCAAAGAACCAAGTAGGAAATACATTTTCAATTTTGGACTAGGGGCGACCCTAGTCAAAATCAATTTTGTCACTTTTTCTTCGAGGGTTTATAAAAATGGATTAAAAATCTTTGCATAAATATTCTAGTGCTTAAAACAAATACAAATAAAACATCCTAAAATTTTTTTGAGCAAAGAACCAAGTAGGAAATACATTTTCAATTTTGGACTAGGGGCGACCCTAGTCAAAATCAATTGTGTCACTTTTTTCTTCGAAGGTTTATCCAATTACAGTGAAACTTTGTGTGAGTATACTAATATTTATACAAAACAGTTTTAAATATCTAAAGCAAGAAATGTATTCTATATGTCGTCAGACCCAAGTTTTATAAATTTGGTTGTACATTCAAAAACAACGTGACTTAAAATTTAGTCCAAAAAAATGATTTTTATAATTTCAGAAATGTGTGACCTGAAGATTAGAATGCTCATACAAAGTTTTACTGTATTTGGATTTATCCTCGAAGAAAAAAGTGAAAAACTAGATTTTGACTGGACCTGTCCCAAGTTCATAATTGAAAATGTATTTCCTACTTGGTTCTTTGCTCAAAAAAATTTTAAGATGTTTTATTTGTATTTGTTTTAAGCACTAGAATATTTATGCAAAGTTTCAATCCATTTGGATAAACCCTCGAAGAAAAAAGTGACAAAATTGATTTTGACTACGGTCGCCCCTAGTCCAAAATTGAAAATGTATTTCCTTCTTGGTTCTTTGCTCAAAAAAATTTTAGGATGTTTTATTTGTATTTGTTTTAAGCACTAGAATATTTATGCAAAGTTTCAATCCATTTGGATAAACCCTCGAAGAAAAAAGTGACAAAATTGATTTTGACTAGGGTCGCCCCTAGTCCAAAATTGAAAATGTATTTCCTACTTGGTTCTTTGGTCAAAAAATTTTTTTGGGTGTTTTATTTGAATTGACATAATTCTGACATAAATCACATATCAATATTACTTTTTGTAATGCATTGCTTAAAAAAAATCGAAATCTAAAATTTCGAATTCCCCATCTGAATTTTGTTCATACTCTTCACTGTGGAAACCAAAAAACAAATTCTTTATCTTAAAACACTTGACAAAATAGCGACATAATTCAGGATTAATTACTTTTTAATAATATTTTAACATTTCCGAGAAAATGTGGTTCCCGAGGGTGACAAAATTCAAACTAAGTGTTTTTGTAGCTGACATAATTATGACATAAATTAGGTATATCTTTTGAACTGTGTCGATATGGGTCTCGGCCGTACTTCACGACCACCCTTCAAACTTATGCTGAGCAAATCTTGGTCTATCCATAAGACTTTTGATGGTACAGTGTGAATATATCCGCATTGGGTTTCTACCCGATACACTAGTTTCCTTTATAAATTGCTTATTTAAGCTCATTGTTGTGGTGTTAACTATTTAAAAGTGATAAAACAATACAAAGATTGTGTTGATTGGGACAAATCATGATTAATAGGAGCTAAAATCATTGATTTTGATTTCAAATTTTTCCTTTGTTTACATTTTATATAACCGACAATTAAAATTCAAATTTTCGGCTTAAATTTTGAAGTTTTCGACATTAATTTTGAAGTTTTCGACATTTATTTCGAAGTTTTTCGAGAATGAGGTGGAGTAACACTGGTCCAAAGCACCTTGAAACTATTCTCGCTTTGAATTCTTATCATTAAATCACTTTTAAATTATTTTATGCAGTTTAATTAATGGAAAATTGGTAGTGGCTTAATAACGGAAAACAAAAATTTTCAGATCCAATTTTCTTCACAATGCTTCAAAAAATCTTAATACAAATTATACATTAAATTACATCTACTTTTTCCGAGAGAAAAAGAGATGCAAAAATTATTTCAATTTGATTATTCTCTCTTGAGATATGGGTTTTCAAACCTTTCGACGAGTTGAAATTTTGGATACAAAAGGTCAACTTATTCATACATAAAGTACCCTAACAACATAAGAGAACCTCACAAAATGAGCTTGATGAGAGAATGATTATTTAATGTCTAATCTAAAGAATCTGAATAAACAAATAATAATAATAATAATGTGCTCCCAAGAGAACCTTAGTGAGCACGTTCAAGATCCTACTCTGAGCTTGAAAATTTAAGGTTCTCACGTGAGACACTTTTTGAGCTTGCTCTTGAGCATGATCTGAGAATCTCCACTTTTCGTGTGACAAAATTATTTCATGCTCTTAAAAGAATCTTACCGAGCACGTTCAAGATCCTACTCTGAGCTTGATATCTTGATCTTGCCCTAAAAAAATTGGGCAAGATGTCCAAAAAACATAAAAATATGGACCTAAACATATCTTGCCCTTGAAAATATTAGGACAAGATGTCCAAAAAACATAAAATTATGGACCTAAACATATGTTGCCCTTGAAAATATTAGGGCAAGAAATCCAAAAATGAAAAAAATATGGCCCTAAAAACAGTACGCGTTTTGCCATTTTAAAAATATATCATTTCAGACAGCAATAGATCAGAGGATAAGTGAACGGCATATTACGACTCAGCGCTCCAGGTTCGAATCTCGGCAAATCTCAAAAAAGTAAAAAAAAATCAAACTCTTGAGAGCATACTCAAAATCATGCTCATAAAGCACCTCTAATAATTAACTCAAAAGAACATGCTCAAAAGAACATGCTCAAGAGAACATGATAATATTTTTTAATATTTTAAATAATAAATCGTGCTCTTTAGAGCACGCTCAAAATCAAGCTCTCATGAGCACACTCTTCAGTACAATTTTCTGAGCTTAATTATCATGCACACCTAGAGAAGCCTACGGTACCTATTTGAGCATGATAATTAAGACTCTTTCGTGAGCATGATCAAGATCGCGATCTTGTGAGCATGTCACATGCAACATGTTACATCGATCAAGCTCTTCTGATCGCGATCTTGATCATGCTCACGAAAGAGTCTTAATTATCATGCTCAAATAGGTACCGTAGGTGGCTCTAGGTGAGCACGCTCAAAAAGTCTGATCAAGCTCAATTTATCATGCTCTGAGCATGCTCTTTGTGGGTCAGGGGTAATTAAACATATTATATATCAAAATACATATACTTTTTCCGAGAAGATACGAGAAGTAAAAATATTTTCATTTTGACTTCTAATAAATATTTGAGTTTTTAGCATCTAAATACAGGAATTAATAGAGGAAAATTCAGGTAAGGAAAAATTCTGAAACTTTATTAGTTTATTGTTTTTTCATAAGTAATAAGTGTCGCAAAGTTTTCAGCTTTGTTCATTCGTAGGTTGCTAAGAAACAAGAAAAAAACAATGGAACTTTGCAAGCATGAAATGCGTTTTTTACTTAAAATGCTTCTTTAAGGAAACATAGGCAATATAAAAAAGTATCAATCGGTTGTCTACGTACCTTAGATCAAGTTCAAGAATCATGCTTATGAGATCAATTTTTTTAGATCGTAGTTTACTTAATAAGAGTCTCACAAAAGTAAGTCGTATTTTCTAGATCTACAGTAGCGTCCAAAAAGATAGACTCACCCTTATAATAGGAGGTTTTTTGATCATAAAATGAGTTCTACTAAACCAATTTCAATAATTTTTTTCAGTGTTTTAATTAGAATTTAAAATCAAATCAAATAATATATTACTTCATACTCAAATTTTGTTAATTATAGTAGAAAATTTCTCTCGGTTTCTCTCGGAATACTCTCGGAAAACTGGTAAAGTTTCAGATGCCCATTCGACATTATCCATTTGTACTTCTCTCACACTCAAAAGTCTTATGGATAGACCAAGATTTGCCAAGCATAAGTATGAAGGTATGAAGTTTGAGGTCAACTGAGTTTCGCTCAGCATAAGTTTGAAGGTATAAAGCTAGCGAGTCAGCTGAGCTTCGCTCAGCATAAGTTTGAAAGTTTAAAGCTTGACGAGCATTCTTTAAAAGTTTTTTCATTCAATGTTGAATTTCATAAAAATCACATTAATCTTTGATTTTGAAAAATTTATAGGAAAGGAAAGTTTTTTGCTTTTTCTGAAGCAACGGCTGTTCCTACCATGCCCAAAAACAATACAGCTCTTCTATAGAGCAGCACGGATCAAATGTAAAAAACTAGAAGTCTCAACGATGTCTCGTTATTGAGATTTCTTGCTGATTAACTTGCTTGCTTGCTTGTTTGTTTACAGAAAGCGTATTTTACGATTTTCTCAGCAATGCCACAACCAATTTGAAATCTGTTTTCTGCAGAAGTAAAATCAATCTGATCAAAACCAATAAGGGGCCGTTCACTTATTACGTTACGCAAAAAAAACGACTTTTTTCACCCCCCCCCCCCCCCTTCCCCATTTGTTACAACTCACAACCCCCCCCCCTCTGAACGTTTATAATTTATTTTATCATTAAAAAGGTGGATAATTTAAAAAAATGTTTTTGGCGTGAATTTGTACTTCTTGAACCCCCCCCCCCCCCCCTTATGTCACATTTTGTTACATTTTTTCAAACTCGGTACGCATTGCTAAATGTCTTAATTTAAATTCAAAACAATACAGGGGTCCTCGATTTGAGTAGGTGTTTTGTTCCAAAAAAATTCTATTCAAATCGAATCTACTCAAATCGAGGACCCATAGTAATAATTTAAAGGGTAAAACACTTTATTGAAATCGAAATAATGTTTTGTTCTGTAAGTTTACAGCAGTATAATCTATGTCAAATTTTTTTTTTTTTGTTAAACTACAAAAGTTTTGGTTTTTTAATGTTTTTGTTTTATAGGTTTTATGGCAAGATGAAAAGAAATCTTTGGCTATTTTCTAAAATTCGATTAAAAAATTAATTCGAGTAACATCATTCAAACATAATTGTTTTCCATTCACTAATTTTTAGCCCTAATTATCTTAAGAATGCAGAGTTGCATGATTAAATGTTCAGAAGTTCTAAAGTGGATTTATGAACTTTTATTCAGGATTATGTTCGGCTCTTTAAAGCAACACTGCAGTGAAGATTTAGTAAAAAGTTTAACAAATTTTCCATTCTAATTAACATCATCATTCTACACACGTTTCAATTACCTGTTCCATTAATTCCCTTATTTCAAAATTTCTTCATACAAAATAGACAAAAACTCTTAATATTTTCTTTTTTGATATTAAATTTCTTTTTAAAACGTTAAAGTGCTCACAATTTTTAAGGACGAAATGTGATTCATAGTGGCTGTCTTATTATTTTTTTTTGTTTGAAAAATACATATTGCAAAGGACTTTCCCTAATATAGTACTACTAAGATTGACTTTGTTAATTATTATTTTTTCATATTTTTTTCTTTTACACCTTTTTTGTTTTATAAAATATTAAAATTTTTTTATCATCAATCAGAAAGACACTCATTACTTAATAAATGAAAATATCAATTTTTCCTTTGAATGCGTTTTTTCTGTATCTCTTGCATTTTAAATTTATCTTGATAATGATCGTAGATTATGTTAGTTGCAGGCAACATTAGCTGGGTGACTCGTTTGTGCATAAATACTTCCAATTGCAAGACCACTTTGTGGACCCTTGCACAGTTTACTACTCGATCCACGAGGTATATATGTTCGTTCAGATCTGAGGAACTGATTTGGACCATTTGATTTGATTCTACATTTGCCAATTATATCTGGATTAGCACCATTCCATGCAACATAATCAGCTCTGAATGAAAAGATATTTATTAAAATTTGAATAAATTTTTTTTGGAGGTATATTTTGCACTTACAACAACAAGTCATCTCTAGGTCCTTTAGCAAGACTCGAGTTCGGTCCACGGCTGTTTGATTTTGTAACAATCGACATAAAATTTCCTTCTTTATTCTCTTCAAACACAATCGATTTGCTGATAAAAGTTTTCGATGATCCTCCTGTTGATACCTTTGAGTTTGTTTCCTTGACACTCTCGTTTCTACAATTTATTGGATATCAATAAAAGTTTATCAAATAAGATGATTAGCAAATTGTATTAAATTAAAAGTTAATACACCAAAATAACACCGAATTCTGATTATGATTGTTAGAAAAGAAATAAACTTGGGAGGGTTGATAAGATATGTGATACTTCAAATAGTAATGTTTATCGCTACAAAGCTTTATATCCAATATTTTCTATATCATAATTAATAATCAACTATTCGAAAAAATATGACTGATAAGGAGATAAGATTAAAGTAGGATATTCAAGCTAATTTTATCTTACAACATTGCATATTATTTTTACGGTTATTAATAATTAAAAATGAAATTCTAAACAAAAATGATTGCATCAAGGATTAAAGGAGTCTTAAAATGTTAATAAAACTGTGACAAACAATAATAATTTATTAATTTTTCATACTTTGCACTGCGAGTTGAATCACTACGAGCTTTTTGTCTCTTCTTGCGTTTATCAACAGAAATAATAGCCTCATTGCTCGATCCATCAGATGGTGTCTCATCATAATCCACTTGAAGCAATTTAGATGATACAGACGATTTTCCAGTTGTTCTAGTGCTACTACCAAAAATATCCGTTTGAGGACTTTCAATCGGTGTAGTAATTATAGTGTGATCGCTGTTAATTATCATTGTTTCATCATTTTCAATTGCAGCAGCTTTATCAAGATCAACACTCTTGCTATAAATTTTGAAAATTATAACCAATTTTGATTTTAGATTCAGAAATTCAAAATAACAAATTTTTTTCCTTCTTTAACAAAAATAAAAGTTATTCATTTGATAAAGTCGTACTTTATACAAGAGGTGAGATCTTTCAAAAAAGTGATATAACTACTGAATAATATTTAAGATATGTTTATGCATGCAAATGTGAATAATTTTAGGTAATCTTTTAAGTTTTTCAAAGTGCGCATAAAGCATATTTTTTTTTGATATTCATTTCGGTTTTCAATTATTGGACATTTTTTAAAAAAAAAATGTTTTCATTCATACCTTGGTTCCTTGAATGACACATTCTTTTCAACACCATCTCCTTTCTTTCTTTCCTTTTCGGTTTTTTGCTTAGAATCTCGATCTTCTTGAAGCACAATATCTAAAATTTTAAGCGCCTTGTCTTCAGAATAATCAACAGATTCTAATGCCATTAAAATAACACGTTCTGGAATCGATTCCTTGTACTGTGCTTGAAGTTTAACTTTCACTAAAATATATAATAGTAATTAGAATCGATTCAGCAATTATTATCTCAAGTAAAGTCTTCCCACATTTTTTCTTCTCTTCAATTGTTTTCTGCTTTGGCGGAGGTGTCGGTTCAGACACTTGTTGCTTTCTTACTGAACTTTCTTCTTTTTTGCGATAAGATAATCTTGGTGCCGGTGTTATTTCTTTCTTTTCATAGCCCATTCTAATCAACTGTTCAGAAGCTTTTTGAACATTATTGTCCACAGTAGCCAGGATGTCCAAAATAATAGTTTCCTCGCATTTTGGGAACATAGATTTAAGGTATCTATAAAAATTGACAATTATTAGAATTCAAAGCATATCAAGCATATTTGTAATAGAAAAAAAATGGTAAATCATAAAACATAAAAATAAATTGTTAGCATTTTGCAACAGAAAAATATCAAGAAAATTAGCAACAAAGCCAATAAAATTCATAAAACTCATAAGAAAATTTGTAACAGAAGAATTGCAATATGAAATATATTAAGCAGTAACCTAAGCTTCATTTTTGGCGATGAATGGGGTTTTGGAGAGTTCTTCACAACTTCTCCAAAACGTGGTGATCCATAGTATCCCGATGTATAATAACTGCTCGAACTCTGCGGACGTAAAATAGGACTTCCATTTATGGAAGATGAGTTCAATGTCAAATGATCATTATATAAATGATGTAATGCTTTTCTGCTCAATGCAGATGATGATGGTGGAGTTCCAAATGCCGACAATGCTAATGCAGTTGAATGAAAGGATCTCGGTGGTGGTGGTGTGTTTGGACCAGGGGTATGTGTTGGATGTTTTTCAACTTGTAATGCCGAAATCACAACTGCCTCACGATTGTGATATCTTTATGATTTCATTTGAATTAACATTAATTTGTTGCAAGAAGATTATAATGCAGAATATCATACATAGTGTTATTTACAGAATTGATAAAACAAGAAAAATGTTACACGCGTGATTATTTATGGTTTTAGTTAAAAGCCGAAAGAATATAGTGAGAAAAGAGAGAATAGAAGACATTAATAAAGCAGCACTTCATTGATGTCACATAAAAATGATTGTTTTATATTAATGTGTATATATCAAGTGCATATTCCACTCATAAAGTGTTTCTTACGTTTCTTTATGTGTTGTGACCTTTTATTTTAATGACTAGCCTTAAACCACTTACTTTTTTAATAGAAGCCTTATATGATGCTCGCTTGCCGTAGGAAACATGGAATTAATTTTAGAAACTGTTGCATCAGTTTCCATGGTAGTGGGCGATGTGAATGATGTTTCCTGTACATGTTGTTGTTGCTGTTGCTGCTGAATCATTTGTTGATGTTTTATCAAATTTCCTACTCGTGGAGTATGAGGAGATGAACGTGATAAAGAGGACATTTCCTATAAAGTGAAAACAATAGGAACAAACATTTGAACACAAGCATATGAGAGGATGAAGCAAGCAATCGTGAATGTATAATATGATTGACCCAATTAAAAGATGAAATGTATACATTTGGGAGTTCTATTTGCGAAAATTGATGACCTTGACATTTTGATACTCACAACAGTTTGGTTCGTGTGGCTTGTATAATGACTAGCTCTTGTGGATGGAACTGGACTAGCATTTACAGATTGGCCTGAATGACTTTGAAATGCTTGAGTTGGATAGCTTTGAGTAGGATAGACTTGAACATTTTTTGGGGAACCATGCAATGTCTAGAAAATATTTTTCGTTTGAATATGATTTTTTTTACATAACTAGGGATTTCATGAACATTCAATTTATACCTGCATCGGAATTGATGGACCATAAACATGCTTATATTTTAATCTAGGATCCTCCCATGATGTTGTTTTCTCCTGAAGATTTATAAAGTATCTAGAAAAAGGTGTAAAATTGTATGGGATTAGCATGTTGCATAAAGTATAGGGGCAGCCATCTTTATTAAATTCAATAAAAATATCTAAAACATGATTATTGAGAAAAATTATGATTTATTTATCAAACGCTTACTGTCTTCCACTTCTTGGATCTACTGCTGTTGCCCAACCAGGCAAGTCAAACTTTGAATCCATTCTTTTTCACCTTTTTTTTCACTTAAAATTAATTTTTTTCGCGTAAACAAGCTCAAGCATGAGCGATATCTGGTGTATAAAATGTGAAATAATTTCTTTTAGATAATAATGAATTTAATGTACACTGATACATCGATAGATTTGTTTTGAAAACTATTTTAATTGAATTAAGGATTTTGCAAAAATGACAACCCACAAAGTTGAAATGATTAAAAAATATTCTTAACTATAAATTAAATTAATCAAAATTAATACACGTGACATTCTTAGAAAATAGAGTAATTTATCCTAAATGATGGAGAAAAATAACTGAAAATTCAAAATAGATCTCATATAAACCTACACAAATATAATATCCATATTTTTGAGTTCTTAAAAGTTAAATTTATGTTTCGAAAATTTATTTTTTGAATTTACACCATCGAATGTAATTTTTGGCCACATAAAGTTTTTATTATACTAATTTAAAAAGAATTCTTCATCATCGAATAAACATTTTGCGAAAAAAATTTGAATTTTAATCGAAACTTAAAAAAATAAAAACATACTTAAAAATAAATATTTTCAACTCAATTTTTTATTAAAATGGAAGATATATTCTACTGGTGCCGTGAAAATAACACTATTCAAGTTAGGTTGTGGCTTGATGATACAGAAAGTGACTTCAATAAAGGGTAATAAAACAAAAATAAAAATAAATCCATAAATGGAAGTATATGAAGGGGTGTGTCATTGATTCTAATTTTAACTTTTGCTAAACAAATTTTAGTGATGATCACGGATTCTCGCCTTTACATTGGTCAGCCAAGGAAGGGCATACAAAAATTGTAGAAATGTTGTTGTCAAGAGGTGCAAGAGTTAATGCAACTAATATGGGAGAAGATATACCATTACACTTGGCAGCTGCTCATGGCCATTTGGATGTAGTACTAATGCTGATTAAGGCTAAATCAGATATAAATGCACAAAATGAGCACGGGTGTACACCTTTACATTATGCTTGCTTCTGGGGTTATCAACATATAGCAGAAGAACTTGTAAATCATGGTGCATTAGTGTCACTAGCCAATAAAGACGGCGATACACCTCTCGATAAAGCAAAAGCATTATTGGCAAAACGTCTTCATGATTTGGCAATTGAAAGTGGCCAAGAATTGAAAAAAATTAGTATCAAGGATAACAATTGGTTAGGATTAAAGACGAGATCTCGTGATGCTACATTGTCACGATACAAAGGTATTAATATTGAAGATTTGAAGCTTCATACAAAGGTATCAATAAGTCCATCTGGAGAAACATGGCGTGGAAGGTGGCAAAATAATGATGTAATTGCAAAGATACTTGCTATTCGTGAGATATTACCAAGAATATCACGCGATTTTAATGAAGAATTTCCAAAATTGAGAATTTTTTCCCATCCAAATATACTTCCACTTATTGGCGCTTGCAATTCACCAAAACATCTAGTAACAATTAGTCAGTATATGCCAAGAGGATCACTTTATGACCTTTTACATTCAGCAGCCGGAATTGTAGTTGATACAGCACAAGCAGTTCGTTTTGCTATCGACATTGCAAAGGGAATGGCTTATTTACATTCATTGGAAAGAATAATTCCAGAATATTTTCTTAACAGTTTTCACGTTATGGTATGTGTCTGACTTGTTCTTACTAAGATTCAAATTAATTAATTAATAAGGTGCGCGCAGTTCGTTTAGACGCACTTAATTTTTTTCAAATTTTCCTTTAATAAACACTATTAAGACAAAAAACTATTTTATGTGTTTATAGCTATGACTAATTAGGTTATAAATATAATAAAAGTATCTGACTAAATGCTTTGCTTAAGTAATTAAAATAATTTTTTCAAAAATTACAACAACAAAGTGCGCAGTTCGTTTAGACGCACTTTGAAAAATCTAAAATTTTGTCTTATTTACGTTTCGTAGAAAACTTAATCGTTTCTAATATTAATCTATCAACAAAAACGAGTAATTACTGAGGGTTTTAGAATTTTCCATCAAGTTTTTCCAGAGATTTTCCTTCATTAAAGTTTTCATGTTGCAAAAATTTTGATAAATTATTTATCCAATAATTTTGCGTTAAATTATTATTCTTTTAACTGATTTCCATAGATAATTGTCCATAATATTAGAAAATTAACAGATATTTAAGCTTTCTTATAAGTATAAGGCGAAAATATGTGAAAAATATAATTATGGTGAAAAATTTCCACCACTCTCATAGATTAATCAACAAATTTTGACAAAACTGTAGATACCATAATAAATTTGAATAGACCAGCTTATTTATCGTATTAAACTTAGTTAAAAACAGAAAACTGCACAGCTCTATGGCTAATGGAACTTGAAAATTTTACTGAAAAATTAAGTTGTGGTGAAAAAATTCACCATAGAAAAATAAAATTTTAAAAAAACAATGTCTAAGGTTTTAATTCATGTTTTAAATTGATTAATTTTGAGACAGAAACACTTTTACAACCTAATTTAAATGAAACAATTGCCTAAAACAACGTTTTTTAAAATTTTATTTTTCTATGGTGAATTTTTTCACCACAACTTAATTTTTCAGTAAAATTTTCAAGTTCCATTAGCCATAGAGCTGTGCAGTTTTCTGTTTTTAACTAAGTTTAATACGATAAATAAGCTGGTCTATTCAAATTTATTATGGTATCTACAGTTTTGTCAAAATTTGTTGATTAATCTATGAGAGTGGTGGAAATTTTTCACCATAATTATATTTTTCACATATTTTCGCCTTATACTTATAAGAAAGCTTAAATATCTGTTAATTTTCTAATATTATGGACAATTATCTATGGAAATCAGTTAAAAGAATAATAATTTAACGCAAAATTATTGGATAAATAATTTATCAAAATTTTTGCAACATGAAAACTTTAATGAAGGAAAATCTCTGGAAAAACTTGATGGAAAATTCTAAAACCCTCAGTAATTACTCGTTTTTGTTGATAGATTAATATTAGAAACGATTAAGTTTTCTACGAAACGTAAATAAGACAAAATTTTAGATTTTTCAAAGTGCGTCTAAACGAACTGCGCACTTTGTTGTTGTAATTTTTGAAAAAATTATTTTAATTACTTAAGCAAAGCATTTAGTCAGATACTTTTATTATATTTATAACCTAATTAGTCATAGCTATAAACACATAAAATAGTTTTTTGTCTTAATAGTGTTTATTAAAGGAAAATTTGAAAAAAATTAAGTGCGTCTAAACGAACTGCGCGCACCTTATATCTTAAAACAAACCTAAATAGATTGACGAGGATTTGACAGCACGCATCAATATGGGTGACTGTAAATTTTCTTTCCAAGAACGTGGACGCATTTATAATCCAGCATGGATGGCTCCAGAAACATTGCAACGAAAACGTGTTGATAGAAATTGGGAGGCATGCGATATGTGGAGTTTTGCAATAGTCATGTGGGAATTGATGACACGAGAAATTCCATTTGATGACCTTTCACCAATGGAATGCGGAATGAAAATCGCAACAGAAGGTTTACGCGTACAAATTCCTCCTGGATCATCAGCACATTTAGCAAAGTTAATTAAAATCTGTATGAATGAAGAAGCTGGAAAACGTCCACGATTTGATATGGTTATACCTATATTAGACAAAATGGGGTCGAAATTTTAAAATTGCAGAGAAAGTGTGTATCAAATTATTTTGAATTATGTTCTTAACAACGATAAATCTCAGCAGCTGCACAATATGATTGATTAATTTTTTTTTTGAATCCATTCAGTGCCAAAATTAAATATTTTGAGCATGCATATAATCTCAAATGCATACTGTAGACTTAGTCATCGATTAATCAATTTACTTGAGAAATATAATCAAACTGCTTTTAATATCAAAATATGGTGTCTTATACTAATGTGCCTAAACAAGAAAATTTTTTTTGTTGTATATGATAAGTTTTTTATAAAAAGGTTACCAGGCTCTTAACTAAGTCATTAATTTTTTAAATTTTACGTTTTAAAGTTGAAATTTCACTTAAAAGTGTTTTTAATAAACAATTGAGTTTATGTTTATCTGGTAACTTTACAAAACTATTAAGGTCTTACTAATTATTTCACTTACAAATTGAATGTTTTTTTTTATTTAACAATTAATAATTTACCTATGAAATTTTGCAGGACTATATAAAATAATAAATTTTGAATATTTTAAATGAATTCTAGGAATTTTGAAAAGGATTATTTTTGTTAAAAGGATCTTACTTAGTGACAATATAAATTACTTCTATTTTTGTAATAAATGAAACCCGATAAAATTAATAAATTATAAAAAATTAACAAGAGAGATCCATAAGTTCATTCATTTTTTGCATACATATAAATTTCTCTCATTTCCGGCTTCCCTGGCATTGAAAATTTTACAGTAGCATTTTCCTGTCTGTGTTTGATTTTATACCAATTGCTTCTCAAAATTTCCCTATGCACAAATACACATAAATGTTTTATCAATGTCTCTCCAAAAGTTCTCTATTCTGCTCAAAGCTGCAACAAAAAATACCATGAGAAATAAGACACAAAACAATATCAACAGAGCGAAAGTGAGAATTAAATTTTTGTCCGTACGAGTCACAGAAGAGAAAGAGAGAATATTTCTTTACAAGGAGGAATGAAAAACCTGTGAAAAACTTTTTCCATAGGCAGGAATTTCATCAGTCATTTAAAAACGAATTTTCGTCTAAAGATGACGTGTAAATGACTGTCTATAATTCTATTTAAAAGAATTAATATTTGAATTTTCAAATTTTATAATAAAAGAATTGCCTGAAGATTATTTAAGTGTCCCGGGAAGTGTTCAAAAAGTATTAAGAATAGAAAATATTTTTTTTTATTCTAGATAAAGTGCTAAGAGCATATATTTTTGGAAAAATGGTATGACAATCTGATATTTTAATAAAAGTTCCAAGTGTTAATCAATAAACAAAATATTAGTTCATAAATCAGTTTTCTTTATGTATCTCGTTGAGACATTAAGCATAAATGTATGAAAATTTAATAAAATACTTATTTGTACATATGTCTATGTGAACTTGAAATTATTGTACAGTAGTTTTCAAGGATTGTTTTCTAAGTGGAAAGAACTTTAGTTTCAAAAGTGATTAGTTGAGCTTTTAATAATCAGAACAAAAGGGAACCAAAAAAGAAAATAAAATCAAATGACGTCGTTGTCGAAATAAAAAGATATATAAAAGTTTGCTTCAAAAGCTTTTACAAGTGCCATACAAGAGTTGTCTTCGTTATTGTAATAAAAAGAAGATAACCTACGAAAATCCAGTCCCTGTGACTTCTTATTTCTTCGTGGCTCGACAGAAAAAGTGAAGAATAAGTAAGTGATATTGAAAAAGAAGGAAAACGAGAGCCGTGAAAGCATAGAAAAATACGCTTATAATTTATCATAGTATTTGAGGGTAATGTCTACCTTTAAATCAGGCAAAAAATAATATATTAGTGTTAAATAAACAGGAATTTAATAAATTTTAAGAACAAAGGATTTTAAGTGAAAACTGAATAAAATATAAAGTATGATTATGTGGAATTTTACAATGATAAGTCGTGAAAATCGATTAGCATTCGATTGATGCAGATACAATCTTCATCGAATGGAGTCACAACCTATTGAATTGAATGAAAATAATTCAAGGTGAATAATTGTAATTTTTTTTATTTAAATGATATAAGAAGCTGTAGGATTATAAATTGACGTAATATCTTTATGTATATGTTGCAATTATTAAGCTCTTTAATTTAATTCGCTTCACGTGCTTGGGCTTTTCTTCTCCTATACTTTTTTATTGGATTTTAGTAACAATTTTTTATCTTGGAATAAAAAATGGACAATAATAGAGCAGATAACACTTGTAGACAACTAATAATATTCCGGGAAAAAAATGCGAAATGTGTCAAGGTCGTTGTACCAAAGCTATTTTTGTCGTATTTTGAATTTTCTTCGTAAATAACCTTGAAATTATCCTCATTTCTCTCTTTTTTATGGCTTATTGTATTTAGGAAAAAGAAGATAGAGAAGAAAAAGTACAAACGCAAAGCACAAAAATGAGATAAATTGTGAATTTGTGAAACGGATAGAAACCAAAAGCACATTTTCTACTCAAATTATCGATTTTTTTTTCTTGTTCTTTTTTTTGCTGTTGCAGTACTAGAAATGCGCGGCATTGAAAAACGTATGTGACCTTAACATATTTATGAAGATGCTAATGATAATTTTTCCTTGTCTATATGTGATGATGCTTATGGATTGATAGATATTCCTAAAATTTTTTCTTACAGTTCAACTTTGCAATTTAAAACAACACAAAACATTTCATCACCATCATCGATATCGACACTTAGTGAATTATCACCATTATCAGAAATCGTTGCAAGTCCTAGTGATTCGTCTACTTCAGCCACTGATTTGAATGAAATTATATTAACAGGTATGTCTAGTCTTAAATGTCTTCATATCATTGTACATGATGAGTATATATGAATATATATCTACGGTTCCAGGTGTTTGAAAAAAGGACCGACTTTGTTTTTACCAAGTTTTTTCCAACGCAGTTAGCACTTTATGATTTTTTTTTATTTTTCTTCATAAATTATAATTATTTGTATCTTTTTTATCATTTTCTCCACCCCGAAATAAAGCATGAAATTTTATGTAGCGACCTTGACTTTCATCGCTCGTTCAAATTTTCTTTTTCCTCGTCTTCATTTTTCCATGTTCTTATTCTTCCTTTTTCCTCTCTATCTCTTGTTCTCTTTCCAATTGCTCTCTACAGATTTCTCTCTATTCTTCAATAATAACGCTTACTTGTTGTTCTGAAAAACTCATTTTCGAATTCTTTTTATTGTTCAATAATATCAATGAAGCTATTCTTTACATTATACTGTAGACTAGATTAGGAAATTCAATATTTTTTGATGATTATTTGTAAGCTTTTATAAAGTCCATTTCATTTATCAGAACTGCTAAATAACCTTTCACTCAAACTAAGATAACATGAGATTAATAAAAGCAAAGATTATTAAAAATGTTCAATAGACATAGATAATAGGCGATCCTCTTTTATTGCTTTTAAAGGCTTTCTTTTTTTTATTCGTTGATTTTTTCGTTTGTTATTTGAAGTATAAAATCAATAATGTTACATTCATTCTACCATTTGAACCAGTGTTGCAAATGTAGATGTCTACACTAGATGAAGAATGTAGATTCTTCAATAGTTTTTGTCTAGCTAAGAAACTTTCTTCATAAAGATTGATTCTATATGAGGATAGAAAATCTAATCTACACAAAGATTATTTCTACATAAAGATTCTGTCTACATAAAGATTCGATGTAGATTTCTACAATTCTACATTTTTTTTCAGGTCTACATCAGAGAAGAATGTAGAATTGTAGACATCTATATCGAATCTTTATGTAGACAGAATCTTTATGTAGAAATAATCTTTGTGTAGATTAGATTTTCTATCTTCATGTAGAATCGATCTTTATGAAGAAATTTCTGTCTCAGAATTTATCTGATCCAGACAAATAGCCAGAATGCAACACTGATTTGAACAAAAACAATTCAATATCGTCTTTTTGTATTAAGCGTAGGAAGACTGCACGAGCTTAATTCATTTTTGTTTTATTTATTGTTTAAAGCTCCCGTAATTAAAATGAAAAATCTTAATTATTTATGAGTATTATAAGATTTTAATAAGCATTTATAGCACAGCATATATTATCAAACTTTTTATTGAAAATTTTAAATAATCTCGCTAAGCTATTTCTAATGTTATTTTTTATTATTATATTATTATTATTTTTTTGTCGACGTTACCGTCCGGAAGAATTAGTATTTATACATGTTTTACTTTTTACATTGATTAGTGATACATTTCATATCACTATGGGTGACGTAGAATCAAGCTTCTAAACTTCAAATCTAGGTTTCAAATAAACTAAGGATCTCGTTTCGCTCTTCTGTGGGCGTGACGTGATACATTTCAGATCCGTTCTAACAATATTCCATTCGTGGGTAATCTTGTAGCTCTCGTTCCTATTTCTCCCGCTACACTTCAAGTTCCTGATCCGTTCCTTAATCCAACGTTGCCCAAAATGCCCAATTATGGCTTGATCTTCTTCATTAAGCAGTCGAAGTATCTAAACTTCTGAAAAAGAACAAATTTGGAAATGGCTGGATTCGAACCGACGACCTTCGAGTTACCATACCAAATTTGAGCCAAGCGCCTTACCTATTCGACTAGCCAGGCACTTAACTGCAAATGTAATATATATGTCAAGTGCCCAGATTAAAAAGCATCATTAGGAAATTTACAGTTTTGTGAATCATAACAGATTACCAAATTAATAAAACCCTTCCAAAAATTTTGAATATGCCATTTTTCCCCCCATTGAGTCGTCTTTTATTCGCCATTTCTTCTTTGTCAATGTCAATAATATATATTTTATGTGCTTGTGTAATAAAAAAGTTACAAACAGTTACATAATAAGAATAAGAACAAGAGCAGCAGAAAATGTTATGGTAAGAAAACAACAGAATAGGCTCGTAAAAAACCATGGCACCATAACGAAAAGAAGACAATACAATTGCGATATTGCAGGGAAAGCATGAAATGAAAGAAACATGTGAAGAGTCAGCAAGTAATAGTCTCTTAATGCAATTTCGCTTTTATCAAGAAAATAATGGTAAAAATCAGAAAAGAAAAACAGTTTTCCGTCCTTCTTATTTCATGTTCTATAAATTAACTTGTTTTGATGTCGTTATTCAACGAGGCTTTTACGTATGCAAAAAGCGACACATCGAAGTTTATTGATGGGTCATTGAACTTTAATTTCGCATAGGCTTTATTATATACACACTTAATTTATTCAATTTTTTTTTAATATGTGAACACATTTCAATTGAAGCAAATTTGTATGAACTTGGTATGAACACTATTTTTTTGAATAGACATGCAGTTCAAAAACTTATCAATGCATAAAAACATTGGCTTTTTATTTAGTTGATTTAATTTTTTAAATATAATTTAAATAGATTTTGCGTTTTAAAATCGAAAACTCGTCTTTATTCTTTTAAAATTCAACTTACAATTGTAATTAGTCAGGTTCGGTTCAAAGAGGACTAATGTTCATAAACAGCTGTTTAAAATAATAATTTAATTACAACATTTAATTAAACATCAAAGATTTAAGCAAGAAGCATAAATTCACCAAATCATTTTTAAACCGAGTGTTAAAGAAGCTAAATTAGATAAACATATTAAAAACTTTAAAAAATTTAAATTTAAAAAAATATATTAAAATGAAATAAAGCTCTTTTGTTTTGAAAATTTAAATATAGAAAAGAAAAAAGCTTTCCGCAACTCACAACAAATGCTCTAATATTTTTATGTTTAATTCATGAGGTTTTGTGATGTTCATTTTACTCACTTATTCTACTTAAGTTTCTGCCATTGACATGGAGAAAAATAATCAGATGAGAAAAGTAGTTGACGCTTTTAGACATTCATGAGATCAAATTATAAGTGACCAACGAATTATCATTGATCTGATTTGTATTTAGGCTTTTTTGCATGTCAATAGTTTTCAATTATCTTCTTGAATTATACATGAATAAATTTACTGCTTCCTCCTGTTCTTTACAAACATTTCTGATCTTTATTCTGATTTAGTTTCGGTTTAAGACTAGTCTAATATATTTGATTATCCTAGGATTTAAATAGACATTAGGATTATTCACTAATGTTGTTTAAGATATTTAATAAATTAAAAAATTAAACAAATTATTGAGAAATTATGATGATAAAATTTTCATCTTTATTTTGGATATCATAGGAGATAGAAGGTAGATACAAACGATTTCTATAGAATTATCATTTGCGTTGCTCATTTAATCATGATTCATTTATACACTTTGAGCTTTAAATTATTCATTTATTGCGTACTGATTTAATTTATCTTCCTCTTGACTTTTGAAGAGGAATCACTCTACATTTATATTCATCAATTTCAAGATCAAGATGTCTTTGCATCACTTTGTTTTACAAACTAGAAAGTTTCTTTTTCTTCTTATTTAACCGAAAATATTTTTTAGGTCTTAGACTCGTGACTGTATGATAATTAGATCTTAAAATGCAATGAGTCTAAGAAAACTGTTGAATATTTTTGAAAAAAATCTTAAATATCTTAAACCTTAATTGACAGTGTCTTTAGAATTTATTGATGATCCAGAAAAAAATAATAAATAAAATGAATAGACATGAAGCACGTCTGTTTATAAAAAATGAATGAAAAATAAAATAGTATTATTAAGCCCGGAGAGCACAAGTCGGATAATCGAGACGAAATCCTACGCAAGGAAGATATCACGGCGACTTTAGGGCAAATTTTTCGTCATTACGAGAAATTCGCCCTTAGATCGTAACCACGTCGCCCTAGCGTAGGATTTCATCTCGATTATCCGACTTGTGCTACTCGGGAAGAATAGTAATGATTATAGTATTTAAAAACACAATACATCACATAAAAAAAGGAGAAAAGGGTGAGCGACATGGAGGCATTTGCGTTAAGGCAGGTAACCAGGCACGGAGAAAAAAAAGACTTTTTCAATTGTGTTTTAACAAAAGCAGTTTACATTATCTAATTAATGCCATTTATTAATTCCATATTCAGCTACGAATGAGAACAAGATGAAACATTAAGCGATAAATTTGAATATTTTACAGAATGAGAAAGAAAAATATTAAATAAGCAAAAAAGAAGAAAGAATGTATGAGCGAATGAAAGAAAGATATAGAAAATCGGAATAAAAGACATTAAAAATACAAAAAGGTTTATTATTTTAAATATATTTTCCTTTATATTAGAATAATAATAATAATAATAATAAAAAACAGCAACATTAATATCCAAGGCATCAGGTACGGATAAGGAGAATATAGTAAAGTAAAGAGTAAATATTATTTTAGAGCAGAACCTGCCCAGAGGCTTTTAAGAAAAAAAAATTCACAAGCCTATCTCTTTATGTTAAATATCAAACATAAAGAGCAGCATATTATAAGCAAAACGGGCAATGAACTCTCTTTATTTTATGCTGTTGATATTCTTGTTGTGTTTCACAAGTAAGAACAAGAAAAAGAGAGTCAATTGCGATGGTATTTCATGAAGTAAATATTTTTTTATCAGATCAGGATTTTTTTAAATCTCATCTTGATCATTGTTGCAAAATAAATAGATATTTGAAGATTCAGCATGAAAACCGCACTATTTCTGATTTTATGTCTATTCAATGATTGAAAATAGTAATAAAATACCAACACTGATCAATTAATATCAAACAATCATTAATAATAATTTTATGTGTATCAATGTATGTTACTTCTGCTTTTTTTTAACATTAATTTTTGCTACGCTTCTTAAAAAAGTGATAAAATAATAAAAATGAAAATTGTATTATTTTAGTCATGTTAAAAATAAATAAAACAAGAAACAAGAATAAGAATTATTTGCTTACCTTTATTAAACAGCAGAACAGGCATCATTGTGTCACAACGATTAAGAGTAAAAATTATTTTGTATTCACATGCGGAACTTAATCAATGTTCTGAGCAAAAAAGAAAAGACTGCGAAGAAAATTCAAAAGCAAAATTGACGATAAATGTGAAAAAGATGAGTATAAAATGTGCTAAAGTTGTGTAATATAGTAAAAAGAAGTTTTCATTTGTCTTTGTCCACTATCACAGCGAACATGATAAATCGAATAACTTACATAGTCATCGTATAGTTGAGAACGCTTTTAATTTGCGAAATCTTAAGCAAAACATAATGAAAAATTTGAAATGGAAATCTTTAGAATTACGTAATATTTGAATAGCCTTAATAAGAAGATAAACTTGATTATCAACATCAATTTAAAAAGCTTTGGACAAAATGATGTTTTATAAAAGAGATAGTAGATAATATAATTTGAATATCAAGTTCTTTATTTTTCGTTCCTCTTAGTATTCCATTCTGACTGAAATTTTAAAATATTCAGAATTAATTCAAATTTTTTATCTTGACATTTTGTAAATTTTATTTTCTTCCTTCTTTTGTGTATTTCATGCAAACTTTGATCTCACACTTACTATTTGTATACATCGGCTATAAACGAACAGAATAAATACGTACCCAAAAGTATTTTGCAATGAAATGAGAAGAGAGTGTTAAGAGAATCAAATGAGAGAATAAAAAAATCTTATTGTTAATTTCATCCAACTTTTCTGTCAATTCAAAAATGTTTTTATTTTATTTATTTTTTTTTATTGTGTAATCATCATAAGTTATATTTTATGAATGTGTTATGAGATTTTCTTCCAAAACCACTTACTCAATATGAAGCTTGCTTTGTGCTCTCACACTCATATGTGAGAGTAGTGTACACATATTTATATACACACTCCGTTCAGGAATGGAACGAGCCAAACGGCAGAATGAATGTTGAAGAAAAAAAAAGAAATTAAGCGCGAGTTTAAAGTTTTTATTATTTTCATTTCTTTTTCTTGCCTTGTCTTGTCTCCTCAGCGACTGTTGCTGTTTCAGTGCTTCGTAAGAATTCTTGGATGATCGATGTGTGTCTTTACTTCGTGTGTATCTAGTTTTTCGAGTAATATTTGTCTTAGAATGACGATATAAAAATAATAAACTATGAGCTGCTATTACTCCTAGTGTAAAAATTATTTAATGGATTACTAATGAAAATGTTTTATAAACGTAACATCAACCAAAAAAAAAAATATATATTAAAAGACAGTAATATTGACATGCATTAGGAAGTTCAATTATTGTTCTCGTTACCTCGAATGTTTGCCGGTAGTTTTTACATAAGTTACAAAATTTAAATCGTTTATCAACTAAATTGGTGCTATTAGATATTTTTATCTTTACATTCACGAGTTTGACAACACAGAATCAGAAAATTCTAAATTCGAAATTTACTACTCTTTACGCTTATTTTAAAAATAGAATATAATTTAATCGAGATTGACCACACAAAAACCGTTTAATTAATCGATTATCTAGTTGCTTATAAAGTGTGAAGCATAACAAAGTGATATTAAAGTATAATAATGAAAGGTCAATAAAACCGCAATTTTATGCAGTTTAAAAAATTCACTCTGCTGTAATATTAAAATGAGGGAGAACGAAATGTAAAAGAATTAAATTCCCACCTGTGAACTTTTGTAACAAAAAATGTTTTACTGTGAATAATTAAAAAGTAAAAGAAAACCTAAAGTGATCATTTTAAAGACTGTTTTCTGGTGCCATTTGATTAAAGAATCTTAAATCTTGTTATTGTAATGGATATCTTCCATATTGATTCATCAAATATCAGTTCAAGTATCGTCGACACTGATCATGATACGTCGGTTCCTGACGAAATAACAGAAGTTAAATTTGAGTCTCATTCGGAATTTGATTTAAATTTCTTTGACACGCCTGATGACTCAATGACTCAGGGTGCTTTTAGCAATCCTAATTCAGTCGAATCATCGATATCATTGGCACCAACACCAGAACCACCGAACTCTACCAATAATGTAATTAACAACGGTATTTACACTATATCATCAACTTCATCTCCCGGCATCAATTTTAGTCAGCAAAATGTTAAAACCGGTAAGATGAAAAATGCCTTTAAACTCAATAAACGTGATAAGAGTTTTGTAGCAGACGCAAAAGAAAAAATTTTATGCTCAAAATTTACTTCCTTACGATATTTGTTTGCATAGTCTCTATTTTTTAATTAATCCTTTTCATCAGAAATCGGAAATCGATGTAAAGTAGAATTATTTTAATATAATTTAGGTTGATGTTTGATAAAAGTATTCCTGGATATAAATCAGTATTAATGTTAATTTAATGAGTAATAACGCAATGATAAGTAAACAAAAAATCTATGTTCTCCATAATCTTTATGTGAATATCTCATGCTTACACGTTTCACGTTTAATACATCTCAAAAATGTGCGATAACGTGTCAATGACCTTACTCTTATAATAAAAGAAAAGAAAAGAAATATGGCTTTACTCTTTTTCATCTTTATAATCAACATACAGTCTCTCTTCTCTCACTTGCTTATTTTCTCAAACTGCAATTGCTTAAAAGTCAACTTCGCATAGCTAGAACCAATCTTTTAATGAAAAAAATATATGTGATTTAATCAGTTATATGGGTAAAATTTAAAGCAGAGCAATTTTATAATACGACAACAAAACTTAATATATACTCATTAGATGTACTTAATTTTTATATCCATTGATCTATGCGTTTTTTAAGAATGTATCACGCTAAAAATCTCTTTATTTGTATAGTGACAAGATATAAAAATGGATAGAACTTGACACAATAGCTCGGCTGTAATTAACGAACAGTTCTACAAAAATGGGATGTATCGTTATTAAATTATGAATGAATGGATCAGAATGGATACGGAAGTATCTTTCAATCGAGTGTTGATTATAATTAATTGAAAATTGCCTAACGAATCTGCAATCATGTTCGTCGATAGGTTCAATATTAAATGAACTTAATTGACATTGATTCGGATGATAAAATAAAGATTCTGTGTGATTCGCATGTTTGCATTCATTTATTTATTTTTATCGAATTTCGAAACTTTGCAAATATCTATTTTTGTGAGAATCACATTGATTTGAGGTGACGAAGAAAGATAATTGAAATTGACAATGATTTTCGTTTGAATTGTGATATACTTTGTTGTTTTTCGTGTTGATTTTCTGTTTACAACAACAAAACATGTTGCGAAGTAGAATGTTACTTGTAATTAGATTTAATAGCGCAAAAATTTGTTATTAAATTCATTGTTCAAATAAATATACTTAAATGTTGAAGACCAATGACCATGAGCATATACATCATTTTTTCCTTATTATGTTTCTTGGTTAATTCAAAATTTACATTTAATGTACTTATGTCACGCAAACAAATGTAAGATACATTCGCTTCCTAAGAATTTTTTACGATTTACTTTATTTATTTCTGATATAACGTGACTTATATTGAATTTTTAGTTTAAACACACTCATACACACATACATTCTTATCAGCTTCAGAAACACATTATGCAAATTAAAATCTTTATCCCATTAAGTTTGTGGGTATATTTTTGTGGTTTCTTCATTGTTGATTATCTGAAATGTAAGTAATTTTCATTTTTTGGCGATTCCTTAAAAGAGTGTGCATTGAATTCTGATTCAGTAGTGGCTTGAATTTATTTCATTTTCATAAAAAACGAAAATTGTGTTCTTACTTGCAAAAAATATTCGTATTGGCTGAAATCCAAAATTTATGTTGACTATTGTAAGTACAGTTCACATGCATGAAGCCGCTTAATGTTATTTCATTTTGTACCAATATAAGTTTTAAGACAATCCCTGAGAATTTCTTTCATGTTTTTAATATTTAAACTCAAGCTAATTTGTTATTAAAGCTTAATTTATATTTTATTGGATCAACTTTTTTTTTCAAGAATGAACGAAAAACCGAAGAGGCACAAAAGAAGTCAAGAAAGAGAAGCGAAAATGTTTTATTAATTTTTTTTTATTATAATAATGTTGATCCCTTTCCAATGTTCATTTCTCTTGTTTAAAGCTACACATCGAACGAGGAAGTTTGACGCTCCGAGTGAATAAACATTCTTTTTTACCTTTTCGAGATGCAATTGCACTCTGTGATTGTAAGACACGAATGTATGCCTGCATACTTACTTACGAACGTTTATATTGGAAAAATAAGAAAGATTTACGATTTTTTTGTTTTCTTAATAAAGCCGGAATTTAATTGAATACAGTGCAGGTTTTTAAATGAAGCGATAAAAATCGCAATAGTTGAAAATTATGTATTTTCGTGATACGAAATCATCAATTGGAAATATAAAGAGAAAATAGCGCATATACAGATTCGTTGAACTTCACATTTTGTTTCCTTCTCTTTTGCCAAGCCCACAGTTCGCTTGCTTTTTTTTCAATTCTTAAGGCATTCAAATTTCTTCATTCTGTTATTCAATAAATCTCCTTGTGCCAATCTTTAAATTGAGAATTCAATCAACGCTGCTACGCGACTTAATATTTCATGATTTTTGTAACTTTTAGACTTGAAAAAATCCAAAGAAGCTATGTCTTACGATTAAAAATGTATGGTCCCCAGAATAAATAAGAAACCGACCATAAGCTTACACGCAAAATAACAATTTTGAAAATTTTCAAGCTCGTAAAAGATTCGCGAACGTTTTTATTTGTTAAAATATCTGTTTTATAAAACTTGTTGATGCTACTGAAGATTTGATCATAAACATGATCCATGAGGATATATAGATCATAAAAATGATAGAAGAGAGTAATAATAAGGACCTTAGAATTGTGCATTAAATAATATCGAAATTTTCCAGCTCATATTTCCAGAGTTATAAGTTGATTGTCGGGAAACTAGCTGTGAAAAATTAAGTGTAACTGTTCAATCAATTAATGAAGTTTATTTATTTTGATGAATCCTGTCTTCAAATTGATTTAATTGGTTTTGTCAACATTTGAAAAGCAGTGCGAAGGAACTGTATTATCATTTTTTTGAAGTACTGATTGGAAACTGTCAATGACATTAAACAGATAATGAAAGTAAATGTAAATATATAAGGTCTTAGCATTTATGGAAATGAAGATGTCTGTTGAGCTTTCATATGCAGATTCAAAAAAATTCTCATTTCACGTTTTATGCGCAGTAAGTTGGAATGAATATTCTGTATTTTTAAACTATTTTAATGTTGAGTTGTCATAATTCAAAGGACTCAAAAATATATTTAAAATAAAAGAAACATTTTTTTAAGAATTTAACTTTTCACAAAGTATAATTTAAGGTAGTTCAATTAAGAAGTCTTTCAAAAACCATGATGTTAAGACTCTTTTGCCCTCTCTGTCACTCATAAGTGAATTGACATCCATATATTCACATTTTGGGTTAAAATTCAAAGAAAAATTTGACGTTAAAAATTGCAAAACTTCAAAAATCTTAAATCCGTAAGCGGGCAAGATGCTTAGAATTAAACAGCCATTTTTTTTTGTTGAATTCGGTTTATGAATGGGTGGAGTTTTTTTTTCAATTTGCTTGGCTTGTAAAGAACATGTATAGATCGAGTTATTAAATACAGTCATTATTATCAATTTTGATGAGTTCTGAGCATAATGTTAAGATGGGAAAGAATGTCATTGCTATATCTTTTTATCCATGTTAATTCTTAATTTTCCATCGTCAAATTTTTTGTCTTTTTTTTCGTCGAAACTTTTCTTCTTCATAGTTCATTCACGTCAACTTGTAATAAATCTTTTTTCTTTAAAAACCAGCCTTTCCTTTTCGACACAATATAAAAAAAGTCGAAGTCATTCTTTGAGTCGAGACATAATAATAAGAAAGAAAATTAAAAACGAGAAAATGATTTTCATCTTTAAAGCTTTTGTGCTTTGCCATGCTAAATATGAAAGGAAACCAGACAATTTTTTGTCAGCATTTTTCTTCTCCTTTACATGTTCTTATTCTGAATAAATCACACACAAAAATGCAAAAAATAAAACCCAATACTTTAATACATAAAAAAATCAACGATTTGTTTGAGAAGTAATGATGAGCTTTTTATATTCCAGAGAAAAATGAGAGAAAAACGAAACATGAAAAGTATCTTTATGTATGTGAGAGGAAGAAAATATCTAAAAACATATAAAAAAGAAAAATCGTGATTACGTATAAGGGAAACCCAGACTATGCTCCGAGAAATTTGTTCTAAAATTGCTCTCGTTTTTCTCTCCTTGTATTCTTTTGTTTTCTTTTTGTTGCTGCACTGTCGGTTAATATTGAATTATGGAGCAAGAGAGAAAAGTTGAATGTCATGCACTCTGTCTGTGTACACATTTTTTTGACTGTATATGTAGGAAAAGTTTGTGATGGCTGTGTCAAGTTCATAAAATGTATTAGCTTTATTTTACGATTTATCATTTACGAAAAAAAATCGGTTTTCTTGTCCGTACTCGATGTATGCCAATGCGTGCATTCAAAAAGATTATTTTATGAGAGTTCGAAAAAAAAAATTAATTCTTTTCGAAAATATTAGAAAATTTATTTTGTTAAAATTAGCTTGAGCCTTAATTTTAATGATTTGTTATCGTTCAATATTGAATTAGATCGATGACGATTTGCAATCAATTAAACCATATTTAAGGTTTTTTAAATCTATTTTGACGATTTCGAAAATTTAAAACTGGAAAAAAATTTCCAAAAATAAGATCCATTTTTGCAGTCATTGGTATGGAATTAAAAAATCAATTCAATTGATTTTTCATCTAATCAAGAGTCACAATATTAAATAAATATTAAAAGTAAATTGAAATTTTATTGGCGATCAAATGAAGTATCTTCATTAGGATTAATGAACTTTGAACTTAAAAAAATATTGAATTATTTTTCCAGGAACAATGTGTCATTGAGTCACATCTACGCACTACCTCATATTGTCGATGATGCTGTTATAAAACGTGAAAACATTTTCAACCTTCTTTCGTTTTGATGAAGCCTTTTTCTTTATTCTTCTTATTTTATTCTAAATGCCTGCTACTTCCGATGGCAAGAGCTTCAATCTCACATTTAATTTTCAATTGTCAATGTAAAGGAAGGATTTTGTGCGTTTATATTACCTTTTATTTTTTTAGAGTTAAGTAAAACTGATATCATCTCAGTTTATGTAAGGAGTTTTCTTATTACTTCTACCTTCTCTTTTACGCAACACAGCCTATGTGAAAAGGCAAACGACCTCATCAAGTACATTTTTTATAAGTTTTCTTTTCAAGAGATGCTTGAAGGTGGTTTTTATTGATTGAAATTCTGCACGTGTAACTAAAATTTTCTTGATTCTTTTCTTCTAAACTTGCGACAACTTGTATATTTTAAATTAATGTTTTCAAATGTCCATCATGTTAATAACAAGTTTCTAAACGATGATGGATTATGATGGATTTACATTTATTTTCCTTATTATTTAATAATTAATCCTTTTTAATTTCTTGTTAAATGAAGAACCTTAAAATAACTTTGTTTTGTGATAATTGATTAATGTTTAATAACATGTGATTATTAAAATTTTAAATTTCGTGATTGAACTCTTCGAGAGCCTGACACAAAATTTAAATAAATTAGTGACCATATAACATCTCTATGCATCCTGCATCTACAGACAAAATAAACAATAAACTTGTCATTCATATTCAATAAACTTATACGAAATGACGAAGAAGCAAGAAAAAATTTTGGGGATCTTTGTTAACAAGTCAAACTGAGAAAGAAAGTTCTCTCACATTGAAAAGTTTAAGAAACACTGTTGTAAGTGAAAGGAAAATATAATGAAATAAAAAATTTGGATCTGATGTAGAACTGCTTAAATTGGTTTTAGACGCTCATAAAACTTTAAATAGTGTATTACAACAATTGACCTCAAATCTGGATCATATCAATTTTTTGGACCCTTAAGGTTAACGAATCGCTTCGTGTTCATGTTTCTATGTTCTTATAATATTTACTTTAATAAATAAAAAATAATTAAAAAAATAATTATTATGTAACATTTTAAGCTTTGCGTTACTCTTCTTCAGAAGAGTAAGAAATACGAGAAGAAAAAGCTAATGGCATTCGGACTAAATGAATCTTTGTTATTTACTTTTCTCCATAATTTGAATAATGCATGTGTTCAGAACGTGAATGCTATTATTTCTAATTCACCCTTTCCAACTTAAGCTCTATTTTTTAGAGCAGCACTAGCATTCATATATGACCATAATATACTCAATTCTTTACTTTTACGTGCTCCTTTAATTCTAAACTCTTGACGACCGTTCAACGAGATCATTTTAAAATGTTTCATTCATTAAGTTACCGTTATATGATATGTATCTATGTTTACAGTAAGAATATGAAGAAGATAAAGAACATAAAGAACTTTATAGTAATAGGTATAGGTAAATTTTCAAACTTGATGTTCTAGAACCATTTTTTATCTATGTATTGTTTCTATTCATCATAAACTGTTTATTCTCTACCATTTATATTACAGAATTTAAAACAATAAAAATCAAATTGACTTATATTCACGAATTGAAATTCATAAACAAATCATTTGAATGTTTAAGCGTTGATTTTTCACTTTTTATTGTTTAATAAATAAGTTACAAGTTCTTACAATAAGTAAGATATAGAAAATTAAACATTTACGTAATTGCGTGAATAAGATTGTAAAATGATTTTGTTTAAATAAAATTGTTTGTTTAAAAAATTAAAAATTTAACAAAACATACAAAAAGGAACGAGAGCTTAAATCTGACGTCTAAGACCGCTCGGTCAACCTTGCTATCTGATGATATGTTTAATTTTTGCAATAATTCTATCCTAATCTTTTTCTGGGTATCTTTTAGTTTTAATGAATTTTAATTTTAATCGAAATTAATTTTATACTTACAACCGTGCTATGATGGGAAAAAAAGCTTTAAAAACTGAGCTTATTAGTTCAATGAAATAAAAATAATATTAACATAGAATCACATGTTTATTTTCAGAAAATCAACCATTTTCACCGACATCAACAGCAACAGGAACAACAAAATCAGCAGCTGATTCAAATTCAAGTTCATCATCAAGCACAAAAAACTTTGTTGCCTGTAAAGTCTGTGGTGACAAAGCATCAGGTAAAGTCGACGCCTTTTCAATCTGCACACTTAATAATAGAAATTGTTAATGTGTTGATGGAAATCATTTATTTAACAGGATATCATTACGGAGTTACTAGTTGTGAGGGATGTAAGGTGAGCATAAGAATTGATAAAAAAATAGTAAATTGGGATAAATTCAATTCGGGTCGTTTATTTATGTCGTCTAAAAATATAAAATTTTATTTTATAAAAACGAACAAAAGAATTGAACAATAAGTAATGTTATTAGTGAACGACCCTATATCAATAGCATCATATGCAAATTTGGAAGAAAAAAATGTCTGAAGCTGATTATGAATAAACCAATCACATATGTAACAATGTCATTTTTACAGGGATTTTTTCGTCGTAGCATACAGAAACAAATTGAATATCGTTGCTTACGTGATGGTAAATGCTTGGTAATCAGACTGAACAGAAATCGATGCCAATATTGTAGATTTAAAAAATGCTTAGCAGTTGGAATGAGTAGAGATTGTAAGTATCATCAATGATAATATGTATTATTAACATTATTAATGCACAGATACATAACTATAAGCAGCACATTTACTTTTTAAAATTAAAATAATTTTAAAAAAATTTTATCTTTTAAAAAACTGAATGCAAGTTTTGCTCATATAGCCTTAATGAATGGAAAAAATTAATTTTTGAAATCAATTATGCACACAAAAAACTATTAATGAAATTTTGCAACAAAAAGAAAAGGATTTGTCATCATTTTAACTCAAAATATTGCCCAATAAACAAAATTCATCAACTTTATAAAAATTAATAATGTCACAAAAGAAAAAAGTTGATTGCATCAGTAAAACTCGTTTCTTTTCTTTTCAATCCAATCTGTTGCATAACATTGACGCTCGTAAAAATAATTTCTGCGTTGCGATAAGAAATTCAATTCTATACTGATATCATTAATGCTTTTTATGTATTTTAACACAAAATTGTATTTTTGTAATATGCTTCATTTGAAAACATGATTTTGCGATATCGTTAATAATAAATAACTTCTAAAATTACACATTTTTTACTTCTATAATGGTCGGTTGATAACGAATATGTGTATTTCTTAAAATACTCATTCACTGTTTGTATGCAAAGGTTTTGGAACACTTCTGGGTTTTGTTATGACAGAGTTGATTATGTTGTATCGACGAAAACATATTTTGGAAGTTTTTTGAATTAAAAATTCCAGTGATGATTTTCCATTAAGGGTGTTAGAAATATGGCATTAAATGCATCCCAGTATTGACCAGATCGCAAATTTTCAACACTTTTTTAATTTCTATTTTTCATTACATATAGAAAAATAATAAAATATAAATAAAAACATTTTTTGTTGTTCCTAACGTCATCTGATGCCAAACTTATAAGCAAACATATTAAAACTATATTTTCGTTGTGTGAGGACATAATAAAATTAAAAATGCAAAATCAATTTTCTTCAAAAAGTTTCGGCTAGTAAAATCAATATGCATGTAGTCAAAATAAACTATTACAAGCATTAAACTGATAATTAGTACGACTTTTTGAATTCTTTATACATCACGTAATCATGATCATCGTCTGTCGATAATATCATTAATCATTGAGTTGTATTGACTAGTAAGGAAATGGCTATTATAATAATATTTTGCATGCGTCTAGCATTGAAATATTTTGTCTCATATGAAGTCTAATGACTCTAGACTTACTCATGAAATAATAATTTTTTTTTTATTTTATTGCATTTTAATTGCGCGTACATTTCATTTTATAATGTATGGCACATTAATATTTAAATTTACCATAATGTAAGTACAAAAATTGCACCAATATAAAAGAAAGGCACGCAAAGAATGAGCAAGTCAAATCGAGTGCCAAGGTGATGATTTCGATGAGAATATAAAGCAAGACAAATGCTATAGAACGTTTTATTGATGTCAGTGACTTATAAAACTATATGAAGCTTAAAGATTATTTTAATTATTGATGTCTTTTTGCTGTTCATTTTATGTATGTCATTACACATAATTAGGAGTTCTATTAATTTTTTTAAATACATTAATTGATTTTAGAACTAAAACTTTTATTTTCTGTTTGGAAATTATAAATAATAATACGAATTATTCAACCAATGCAATAAGATTTTTTTGCACACAGAGATAAAACGAAGTGTCATGCGATTAACTACAAGTAAAAAAACGCTGCATTTTTCGGTGTCTGTCTTATATGATATGATTTTTTTTTTCTTCTCTGATGTGCGCTTTATTTGCATGTAAATTGGCTTTGTCAAAAGAATTTCATTTTTTATACTTAATTTCATTTTCACAAAAAGGCATATGTGTATGCATAAAAAAAATTGCGAGGCGTGTGCATGTATTTAATAATTTTTTGCTGTATTTTGAGAGTAACTGGCTGTACATATTGCATTCAGATCAGATGAAGAAGGAAAAAAATTGGAAAATTTACTACACCAGCCAACGATGAATCCCACACGAAAATATGAATATGTGACACAATATCTTCATTTAACGTCAAGTATCATTTGACAAAATGCAAAAAAATATATTTATCGTCAAAAAAAAGGAAATTGAAAATCTATAGAGGTTTATTTATTGTTTAAAAATTTCTAATAATGATGCAAAACTTTACTTGTGGGCGAAATAAATGAAAGCTATTACAAAACAAGATTCAAATATGAAAATTGCAGCGTACAGTCTTGCATTTTTTGCATTAAAAGTGAACTTTCATTTAAAATATATTTTCTACAAATAAAGAAAATGACAGATAGGAATATAGAAAGGCAACAAACATGTGGGAGCATGGGTATCCGTATGCGATTTTTATTCAAGCCTATTGTGTTTTAGCGTAGACACTCTTACTTATTTTAATAAAATATTTAGAGACACACTTGAATATCATAAATTTTATATCTAAATTACCAATCTTACGGGATTTTATTTTTAAAAATTTGGATAGAATCGAGAGTGTCTATACCCTATTTGCAGTCCCATGAAAAGTAAATGTATTCACATTTGCACAAAATTACATTTAATCTTCTTGATATTAGTGTCATTATTGTTTGTTTTGTTTTTCATTGAACTTCTCCTATTGAATTACAAGAGTTCATCGTTACACTTTTGCTCTACTGAAATTTAACTCTTTCTGTAAGTAACAAAACAGAAGAGCTTATTGTCCATTTTTTTAAAAAAAAAATGTCAGCAAACTCTGCAATGCCTTAGACTGAATCTCCTCATCAGAAATATACTTTAACTTTTTGTTCTATAATTGGCAACAACCTAAAAGTAAGCTTTTGATCGGATTATTACAGTCACAGTTACAACATGTGAATGTCATTCAAGAGGAGAGAAGTGAAAAATATTTTTATTGATAAAAAAGACAGGGCAAAAATCTAAATGAACAACCAGTATGAAGAATGAAAAGGTTTTTGATAACAAATAATAATAGTTTTTGACAGATTTCTGAATCTGCAAAAAAATCCTTATTCTTTATAACGCAATTTAATTTGATTTGGGACAAAATACATAGTAAGTATTTCCAATCAAAATAATTACTTGAATGAAATGTTTGATGTGTTCCTGTTAGTTCATTGAGCCCTTAACATTATTTTCAAAATTTTACTTTATCAAAATTCAAAGAAAATAAGAATTCCGTTTTTTTCTAATTCCAACAATTTGCAGAATAAACAGTAATAAATTCTTAATCGTTCCTGAAATTCGCATTAATAAGAAAAAAAGCCGAGTGTGTGTAAATAAACGTTTTTGATAATACAAAACAAATTCATTCCATTCTTCTTTTTATGGGTGCGTCATATTACTTATGTGTGTTTTTTGCTATTTATTATACTTTCCTGCGTCGATTAAAATGCGTACAGATACAGCAGTATGTAGAAATAACTCATTTTTTGTGTTTGATATAAAGCGTGCAAAACAAAAAGAGTAATAAGAATATTATTCATTTTTGTACAAAATTTAGTCATTTAAGCATTTTATAACACATTTTAGATGATTAAAAATCGTTTACAGTCCTAGATATTTTTTTTAAACCAAGTTTTAGGATAATAAAGAAAATGATGCAATTCTATTTTTAAAGCAAATAAAATCAACCAATTATTAGCAATCAATGAATGCGAAATAATTGTAAGCTGATTCATTCTTTGAGAAAATATATAATCTTGTCGAAAAACGTCGATTTCAAAAAGACGAAGGATTATATGACAGACGATCAACTAAACAAATATATTAAATGAATTTACATATATATTTGTTAATATAAATGCAATTTTACTAAATCAAAGAAGAAAATAAAGGGAAACATACAAAAGAAGAAGAAAAGCTGAAGTGAAAAAAATATAATTTGCTCAATGTTATGACTAAAGTGTGAATATTAAATATATGTGTATGAACAACAAAAAATATGGCGTTAAAATTAAAAAAAGAGATTTCCACACTTGAGAGTTCATTGCATTTTTACTCTTTTGAATGTCACTTATTAACACACTCATCAGTCGTCATTTTTGGCTTGGCATGTACAGTGAAATCTTCATTCTACTTGCTTCTGCTGGGAAGTAAAATAAATGCTTTTTATTATATTGTCCATATAAATTTCTTTTAATGTTTATTTTAATATAATTTAATGCAATAGTATTTATGATGTTTGCATCCAATCGTGAGTAGGTACAAAATGATTAATTACGTAATCTTAGGCACACATTTGCACTCGAAAAAGTTATTTCTGACCTTGACTGTACAAGCATCTTAATGCAGAAAAAAATAATGATTTCAAAATAGCAACAGTATTGTTTAATTTTTTGTTTGTTTTTATTTACACTACAGATGTACGTTAACTTGTTTCTGTATATGCCTTGACTTGACGTCTTTTGAATGACGTTAACTTATTTCAGCAATATAAGTCTTTACTGATGAAGACACATTTAAAAATACTGTTGTAGTGTTATGGATCTAAAAATCTTATTTTATGAACAATAAAAAGAATATTAATATGAACGAGGTCAACGTAAAGGGAAAATTGATGAAGAGTTAAGTAGAACATGGACACAAGATGGGAAATCTTCCAAGAAGGACAAAATTTAGAAAGGCATAATGTCGTTCAATGGCAAGCAAAAGTCTTCTCATCTTTTACTTTTCCTCGAATATTTTATTTAGCTTGATTGTATAAAATAACAAGGCTCAATTAAAAGCATTTTTTGTTCATCTTTTAATGATATTAAAAGTCATATAACCTACATAATAATATGCTTTATTTTGTGCCAAAATATCCATAAAGAGTTGGTTGTCCTATATTATAAGACGTATGAAGAAAAAAAAAACTTTAAAAGTGCACAGCACTTCGTACTCCACTTTTCTTTCATTCCATCGTTCCTATAAACTACAAAGTACGATAAACTCATCTATTTCACACAGTTTTTTTTTTATTTTATTCCGTTCATTCACCCGGGAAGTTTTTTTTTATTA